CGGCTCTTCTGGGGCGAGGTAGAAAAGCTTGAGCGAGTGCAGCATGTAGTCACCAGGCTGATTCCTAACGTACGACGTGTACAGTACGATGACCGGTGTAAGAAACTAGGGCTGTACACCCTAGTTTATCGTCGAATGAGGGTTGACCTCATCATGACGCACCGGATACTGCATCTGGGTGATTACCCAGTGCTGAGACCGCTGCTTCATCTGCGCACACCAAGCAACACACGAGGACACCAGTATAAGCTTGTCGTACCGGATTTGAAGCGAGTCGCTCACCAACTAAGTTTCGAACGCAGAGTGGTGAATGTATGGAACGACCTGCCGCAGTACGTAGTCGTGGCAAAGTCGGTGTCCGAATTTAAGAAGTTACTTGTCGAACACCTTGCCGACGCAAAATATATTGAGCGGTACACAATATAACGGTTATTTGTCTATAAGCAACGATCGATGCAGCAACATAGAGCAAACTCTACTTGCTGCTTATAACCAGTATTCAGTATTCAGTATTGGGCACATTCATGCCCGTAGTGTAATAACAACAAAACACAAAGTCCAATATCAGTACAGTGTTAACCAACTCTGTCAATACAATGCTTCCGGAGAAAAAGCTCAAACGGTGAAGCACGACAAGAACGCCGTGAGAATTGAAGGTAACTCAGGCTGGAGTGCGCCCCGTAGTTACGCTGTCCTAATGACAGCGATCCAATAACTGATGAAACAGAGTACAGTTTTCATGCTGTCTTTGAAATATGCTTCCAAGTCGAATTTGAAGGCAAAATATCAAGGCACAGCTTTTTCAAAATTTCACATAAAGAGGATGCGGATTGGGTAAGCCTCAATGGAGTGGAATTTGGCCTGTTTGGCGTCACTGGAAACAACTAGAAGAAGGCGACTAGCAAACGTTTTTACGTGTTGTAATTTATCTCGTCCTGGACAAAGTGGAGCTCGAGGGCTTTGTGAGAGTGGATACTAAATTGGTTTTGGGGTAATGGTGGCAAACGTTCCACGAGCGGCCACTTAGTTTGGCTTTGCGTTCAATACACTGCCGAAGGCTTCCAGAAAACCTGACTTTCAAGTACCCCATTTTAACTAGGAAGATTGGACCGAACTTGTCTTGGCTCTTTATCCCAGCCAGGTTGTTTGGTTACAAGCGGTGATAATGTGGTTATGTAACCTACGGTTAAGGATTTTGAGCTTCACTTGGACGCTCTTGGGTGTCAACACGAAACTTTTGCCTTCTCCTGACCATATCTATCTCCATACTTTGTTAGTATTTTCTGTACTTTCTTCACTCACTCGCGTTACCCTTCATCTGTATAACCTTCCTTCTCCTTTAACTGCTTTTTCTTCCCATATTTTGTTTACTTTACTTGACTGGCACAACGGGGTTCGCTAGCGCGAGAAACCTGGGTAGTACTTGCTTGACCAGGGTGTGGCATGCGTTTCGTTTTACATCCATCGATAACTCAGAGCATCCTATGGCTTCCTGGCTCAACGATTCGCTTAAAAAGGAACATACGAATCGACCAAGACTTAGTTCCGTACCACAGGACCGCATGAACAACCGTTGCAAACCCTCTCCTTTAAGGAATGGGGAATATGTCCACACGATGCCACAAATGACTCAGATTGGTAAACGCCGACCAGGCTTTGGCGATACGAGGAGATACCTGCTTCCAAGTAGAGCCATTCAGCAGAAATACCGATTCCGATGTAGACAAACTTGTATTCCTTCCATGCTAATTAGGGGGGGGGTCAGATAATGCACAGTCCTGGAGTAGCACTTTACACTTCAAGGGAGAGGAGCACATGCAATACTTAGACGCTTCAATCCCCATACGGTTCAAAATGAGCTGTACATTCTGTGAATCGTCGGTGAGCATAGCGATATCATCCACTGCGCTTCGGTAATTGGATTTTAACTTTTCCACCGAATTAACTGGGCGTTACCGTCTTGCCCCAATCCATATCGGTTACACGCCTCTTCTATTCTCTGTCTCATTCGCCCCTCTGAAGATGTTTGACATTCTAGCACCAACACCATCATCAACTCATTGAAATATCCAATACGCATGATTTTAGCTGCACGTATAAAATCGTGGTTTACTTTCACTGGCAATCGTTTCTTATTTGATCACTTAAAATGACTTATCAAATTCGCCTCTTCATAAATAATTAAACCTAATGCCCTACCCGTTCCCAAGATGCTGTGTGTATTCACGACTTCTATCAAGGGAAATCCTTACACCTGATGACCAACCAGTGTCTTTTGCACGAACAGTAACCTGCGTGACAGTGGAGCATGGTTCGTGCTGTATCGCAGTTGGATTTCAATACATGATGGTTGGCTATCGACCCGATGGCTCAGTGACATAAGCTGCTGTATAGTGGTGCAAGCCACTAGCGGTCGGGGGCTCGATCCCCGGAGGGGGACCGAAAGAATACGCACCAATGGTGAGCCCCACTAGGGCGAAACGATCCTCTGGTGCTTTTCCGAATTGGTAATCGACCTTTGTGGCTTGCAACCTAACTGCGATGAACCGAATAAATCACTCCATTTTTTCCATATTCTGCTAAGAGATTCAGACTATTCACCACCTCGGCGCAGTTCTCAGTATCCGATATTCCCATGATCTATGTAAAGCGTCAGAACATGGGTTCACGGTAGGTTAAGGTCACATATTTTATTGTGGTTTTACTGCACTAAAGGTATTTTGTTAACGCTAATTGCCATCCCCAATTCAAGCTCTCTTCAACCCTGGCTCTTTCTGGATGCCAAACAGTGAATTTCCTTTGTTCAAACCTTGAGCGTTTTAGAGAAAATCACCAACTATGTTCACAACGGTCGCAGCAAGCATTGCCCACGGTTCGGTGATGTAGGGCTAAATGCTTCGGCCCGTACTCTCACATCCCTTGTTTGAGCTGCAGTTCCATTGCCTTTACCTGAGGATTGCGGATGAGTATGAAACCGGAGTGCAGCGTTACGATCAGACTACACTTGGAATTTAGCCGCCTCGGTTAGCGTTTCATTGCCATGATTAGCGGAAATCCACAGAAAAACGAATCTAGATCCAAATTTCGATTGCAAGTCGCAATTCATTCACACAACAAATACTTCAAATGACCACCAGTGGTTCATCAAGCGGTATCTGTACCACTTCTGAGGACAGTGCCGAAGGAGCGAGATCTCCAACATGGATACTACGCTTTGAACGCTCAACTCTCCATCAAGAGCGAATTTAAACCCTTGCTTTAGGCAGCAAGTTCTGATGTTTATTGGTAGTTTATGCTTGCTCTTAGAGTCCTTAATCGGAAAGCTTCTTATTTGATTTAACCAATCAACTGGTACTGGGAGTTTTTGACGCCTTATTGATTTTCGGATATCTGCTATTTATCGGGGTGCCCTTCCCTGCGTGCAAGACGCTTGGGGGAGGCGACTTTCCATTATAGTGATTTGGCTTTAAAATATGGACTCACTCGTAGCTTGCTTTTGATTAATCCTCTTATTCTTCTCCCTCCTCCAATGTATTTCTCTGGCGCGGCGCTATTGTTACTGTTTTTTTGGGTTTTTCTTAACTCGGGTTGTTTTTGGTAATTTGTCCAAATATTCTGAGGCGGCTGTTTGCGCTACGATCCTCGAGGTTCATCCGCCGAGAGCTTACCGCCCACATTTAAGATGCTGCCAGACATTGCGGTTGATTAGTGTTGGCGATGTCGAATTTTCCTCCGGTGTTTTTTCAGTTAAACTAAGTAGATCACTGCCTTAGCAACTAATCGTTATCATTACATGTTAACTGAAGGTGCGAAACTTCAGCTATTGTGCCATAATACAAGAAGCTATGTGAAAAAACAAAATGCAAAGAATTACAGAACAGAATATAGAAACAAAAATAATAGTATGGCGCTTACTATCATGTTACGCATCACCTGTGCGAACCTGGTTAAAGAGGGGATTTAGGCTCGAGGTGAAGGAAATAAGGAACGTACAACACAAATGATGTGCCTGTTAACAGGCGCATCCAACCAGACGTGTTCATCGTCTTTCGGACCTCGGCACTGCAGTCGGTAGACACCAACCGACTCCAAGTTCGAAGTGAGCGTTCTCATTCCTCTTGACCAATGCAATGCCTGGTCTTCTCTCCTCTTCCACCCACGCTCCGGTCACACAAACAACACGACGCGGGAGTCGTTATTCTGACATGCGTAACACGCCCAGCAATCGGAACCTGGTGCTTGATACAATGGGGCTGAGCCGTTCACTCCCTCTTCCTGCACCAACTATATGACACCGAATGCGCTCATTGTTTACGCGGTGTTCCCACCATACTTGAGCCAAGCTACGAAGGTACCGATTGTGGAACGTGCTCTTGCAGTGGATGCGCCCCTTTGCCACCCAACTTATCCAAATGACATCATGTTAAATTCCATTGACAGTATTTACCCCTCAGGCATTCGCGATGTCTATGGGAAACTGACATTGTACCGCTTAACTTCTGCCTTTTGTAAATGTGCTGGCTAGCCGAACAACCTCGTGGTGCCAGCTGGGTGGTTAGGCCTTACCCCTTTCCAGCAATTAGTTCGGAGGCAGTGTCACAGGGCGTGGTGGGTTTTCGCTTTGCGAGCGTTCTCCCCGTAAAACCCGCAAATGTCTAACAACATTTTGACGTGACGGTTGCGACTCCTCATCACCTAGTCACCGCCCTTCATTCATACGGACAGTCGTATCCAATCCACAGACGTCAAACATATCTTCTCACGCTAGTGACGCGATCAAACAGTCGAAAGTACAACAACACATTTCCGAACCCAAGCAACACAGCTACACACATGCGTCTACACACCTACATACATTCATGGATCCACATATATGATAATCATATTATACTTCTGTACATTGCTCGATCACTCGTTGTACTCTTACTATGATCATGCCTGTGCAGACGTGCCTCCCATAATCGAAAATAAACAGTTTATTTATTTATTTACCCCTCCAGGGGAGAGGAACTTCCACCAATGCTCATACCCACAGTGTAAGCGAGGAGCACCATGTCTTTCTCAACTTGGAAACACATCGTTTTTACTGCCTTCCGGACGATTATGAAATCATCGATGGCTCACTGGAGGACATCACTTATCTTCTGAATCCGACTTTTACCAAGTCGGACATAACCTCCTTGGATACAGCTACAAAGATGGTCCGCGCTTACAATGGGCTGACCTATTATCAAGGCATTGTCGGATTGAACAATATCAAGGTATGACTCAATCATGAACAGTAGAATGTAGCTTGTTTTCCACTGATTCTTCTAGTCTCTCCATGACCTTTCCCATTGATTTCCAGGCGAATGATTACTGCAATGTCATCCTCCAAATGCTCAGCCATATCAGTCCCCTGCGGGATTACTTCCTCAATGCTGCTAATTACCGTGGTATCAGTACGACATCGCCTGATCAGATGCATCTGCTCGTTCAGCGATTTGGCGAGCTAATCCGAAAGTTGTGGAATCCACGTAATTTCAAAACACATGTTTCCCCTCATGAATTTCTTCAGGTCAGTTGCTTTTGTGTTTCTCGTATATAGAGAGCCATTTGATGCTGATTACCGTTTTCCAGTTATGGTATATACCGGTCTTAATTTTTAACCCAGAGACTCGGTTCTTGTTCGAATTATTTCCTGTCCATGTCACTTGATATAAAACCTCCGTATGTGCTTGTTATTTTGCATTACGATATTCATCTTCTGCGCTGAACACGTGTTTGCCTGCCTTCACATCCCTTCCCCTTTGCCCGTTCTGTCCTGTAATCACTTTGCTTATTGTACAATTTCAACTAACCTACACAAACGAATATCTTCCTTCGACAGACATAACTTCCATTTATTAGCTTATCCGTGCACTGAGGTGAATCCAGTTGTCGTGATACATTTCACTAAAATAATCATACTACTATTACTTTTGGTAACAATAACTCGATAGGAGTGAACAAGGACGTGAAATATCGAATGGGATAGTCAGTAGGACGAAGTAAGCTTCAGTCCCATTACAACATTGGAAGACACGGGTCCTTTTAACTGTTTTTGTGTACATTCCTTTTGGCTTTATCTTGAAAAGTGCAAAGTCGAATCATTTCGAAATCGTGTATCCATCATCCGCTCGATGTTTACTACTTACTTAATCGTTGCAGGTGACACGGATGCTTCAGTAAGCCACTTATCATGGACCAGAGTCACAAAATCGATGCTCATCTCACTATTAGTGATAGTAAGAACGAATCGCTGTATCATTTAGATGCCAGCAATATCTCTTCTAAGTCTAGACATCCGCACCGCGTTCCTTACCATTCACTGAACGATTCGTTAATCCCAGCTCTGACTGGTCAAGTTTCTACCTGCTATGGATGTCACATGCTGGTATACCTATATAGAACTGGATTGCGATACGAAATCCTAATCGTGACCACAGTTGACTTCGAAGTCAGCCTGTGCTTGCATTCCAAGATACGGCGGGTACTTCAGAACCCGACAACCAACTTCTGACCGCAGTGTCAGGCGCTGCTCGTGTAACCCAATAGCCTAGAGATCGAAGCGATAGCCGCCAACCACTATGTGCGGAGTTCCCCTCCCAGGTCAGGCTATCTCTACTTGACGAGTCCAAACAAGGACGAAACCGTCGATCGTGGAGTGCAGGGATAGGAAAGAAAAACGCCGTCCTCCAACCCGGTTTGTCGTTCACGAATCTGGTTGAGTCGAATACACTCTTGAAGTCTAGGAACACAGCCATCATGAATCTATGGCGCATGTGACGCTGCTCTAGCGTCCGCCGCAGAATGAATGTGTGGTCATTGTTCCGAGTAAAAACCAGCACGCTGTTATTTCTCGAGATACCCGTTCCGAAGTAAGACAGGGGATAAGAATGGAGGTTAATAGCTTCGTCACTAACTGCGTCAAACCTTCGGTGGCACATTTAACGCGACAACCCTTCTATATTGCTAATACACTCGATTCATTCCAGTTGGCTTGGACCGTCTTTTTCTTCCATATATATTCAAGCTCATGGGTCGACGCTTTGCTGAGGATTTCACCGCCATTCGTAAATAGCGTGTGAGTATGGAAGTCCGGATCAACAGCATAGAGACGATTGAAGCCGATGATCACTTTACAGACCTAAGCCTCCTATGCTCCTCTAAACTAATCCACCATCGCTCAGCCTGCGCCACCTGAGCAGGAAGGGGCATTGTAACGAGAGGCCAACTGAACTGCTCATGAAAGTGCCCCACCTAATGAGCGCGACAGCGCTCCTTATTGTGGGTGTGTTAACTGATGCTATCCTTGGTTTTCTGACTTACAGATGGGTTCTTGGAACCAGTGGCACGGATCAGCCACAGCTGTCTCAGATTGGCGAACAGTGATCGCTCCTCGTCAAATGAGTACTATGATCTGATTAGTTCCCTAGGGCGAATTTGATTACATTTCGTCGACATGTTCCCATTCTGCGTATGCCCACTCTTTCCTCACTAAGAGGGAGTTGTGTTTTATTTGCCGGGTATAGGATGGTACGTGCCCCATGCTGAGGCTGATGTTGCATTCTTGATGCTTCTTCACCGCAGTTGGGCTAAACCAACTTACACTTAAACTAGGTCTTTTTAAGCTGGATAAATTTCATTCCGCTTTATTTGGTTTGTTCTGCCTCCCTGAATAATGTTCTATTAACTGGCCACGTTGCTTACACTAATTGCGCTTATCTTCGGTAATTTTGTTGCGTTTGTAGCATTTTTAAGTAACTTGTGGACATTTCTTACTTATCACGGATTTGTTGTTAACCAACTTACTTCATATGGTAATTTAGGGAAGAGTTATGCCACCGCATCTGTATGCATTGTTGGATTTATTTTATTTCAGCTTGTCGTTTAAAGTGAATGGCTGTTGTTTGATATCCCCGGTGTGGTTGCGCTTGATGTGTATGTTGACAAGGTGCCTACCTGTCTATTACCCACTACATCGTTCATACTGGCTCCAGGAGACAGTTGGTCGTTGCTGGAGGGGACGGGGTGCACGGTTCTTGTGGCCGTGCTAGGCTCAAAGAGCGGTTCCATGCACTCAGTATGGAGCGGACTACGGTCCAGCCACCGCCTTGTGTGCGCTTGATTCCCAAATACAGTGTGCTTGTGTTTGCCTGTGAAGGAGTGTGGGCCGGCTCCGTTGATGAAACGTGGTTCCCATCCGCATGCCTCCCGGTCTTATTCCTTCGGGTTTACACTGGATATGGGGTGTGTGGTTGGAGCTGTGGGTGGTGCAGCGCAAGCCATCCATGGTCCCTCTGTAGGCGCAGGCGTCCTGTGGCTTGCCACAGTGACAGGCAAATCCGAAACCGGATGCCGCCAACCATAAGATGGTACGGAGCGGGAGATGTGCCACGGTCTACTTGAAAACAAAGTCCTTGATGAGTGCACTGGGCGCTCTGGGTTCACCTCGCTTTCCAGGCTTGGGTCTACACAGACTGCCTTGTGCCTACAGGACATGCAGCTAGCACCAATGGCAAATTTGTTGTCACCTAGTCGATAGTCTTCTTTAATTGTGTCTGATTTTAAGTTATTTGTGGAACATTATTGGTTATGGCACATGGCATAGAATATTGCAGGGAAGAAGTGTTCCAGACACCACTTTATTTTCGCGCAGTAGCCGCATTGAAGGTATTTTTATCAGTGTTAGGTAAACGTTTTGCTTCTTTCTGCTTGTTTCATGTGCTTAGTTTTTGCACTGAATCACTTCTCTTCCTCTTATTGACTCTGTTTCTAAGGTCGTCGTGGTTACTTGGCAGTGGGATAGCAGTCCAACTGTGTGAGCCGCATAGATGCAAGTAACCTGGGGGTATACTCAACTTTCACGCGCGACTGTTGATATTCGTGATATTTCGTGCCGGCACGCTGCCAATGTTTTTTCAGTTGCACTGTCGTTGTTAATGTCGCTACTTCGATGGTATGTCCCGTTCTTCTGTCTACCGACTGTGTAGCTTCGTGTGGTTCTTCTAGCCTTTGCTTCACTCGCTTGCTTTGATTATCTTATGATACCGTGGAGTCCCGTATACTAACATGAAATTTCTCCCCTGATGACTTAAACTTCTCCATCCGATATTAATATAAACACCATATGGTTCCATCGTTGCGCAACATGCATTGCAATTTAGAAGCATGCCACTTTCTTTAAATGACGTGCGACCGCAAAGAGAACGACTTCTACTTTTGTGAGTTATAAAAGTCTAGTACATCACACGCGCAATCTTTTGCCTGTCAGAACAACAACAATCACTCCCTGCGCGGGAAAAGTCTCTCATCCTGTTGAGAAATGAAAGATATATTCATACATTTACATGCAATTACAGTGCGTTACTGAGTAATTGACTATAAACGTTTGTGGCATATTACCTTCCTGGATGGAAGTCTCGGACTTGGCTAAATCAATTCTTATGAACTTTTCCTCCATATCGATTACTCTCTGGCTGCGCCCATTAACTTTTGACTCTGTTCTTTTTCATCCTGCTGAATTCCCAGCTTTCCCTTTTATTTTAACCTTTCACTTATATCTTCATGAATTTTTACGGAGCAAACGGTTTCGCTACACTCTGTCACCAAGATGGTCCTTTCGAAGTTCGGCTGCACTATTTGATTATTAGCAAAAGGACTTTTTGTGAAATTTCACAACTTTCAGCGTAACAGCTTACAAACCAGATAACCTTATCGCCAGTATGGAACAGCACCAGACGGCCGTTTCGTCTTATTACAACCCGTCAGTGGTATGCATCCCTCGGGTCCCTCAGGAACCGAACCTAAGACCACTAACCGCTTGCAACACTAGCCAGTAGCTTATGTCACTAAACCATAGTAGACGGCGGCGGACCGTCGTGACGTGCACGATTACTGCGCTATAGCGCGACCCATCCTCCAATGCAATGAGGTTACTACTGTTGCAGAGCACAGTGGTTGTCCCCAAGATGCCATGATTTTCAACAGCGGTAGCTATGTACGCATAGCACTTAAAGGTTGTTAGGGCAAAGTTTTACGTGTTACTCTACTAATTTTATCTAACTTTTCCTCATAGGTGCGCTTGATTCATGTACATTTACTTTTTTGACCCACGGCTGGTACTGATCTTTTAAACTGTTCGTTACCTTATCAGTACTTGTATATGGTCATTTCTCCACAGGCTGTGGTGCTGTGTAGCCGAAAGCGTTTTCAATTCACTGAGCAGGGCGACGCGGTTGAATTTTTATCCTGGCTCCTCAACGCGCTCGATCTGGCGCTTCATCCGAAACGGAACAATACACTTTTGGACAAGTCGATTCACCAAACTACCGTCATTTCTCAGGCTGTACGAGGCCGAATGCGCGTCTACAGCAGGAAGATCATCCCAGTTAACCTCACTGATGAGGAGAAGTTATCACTGCTGGACAATCCGGAATACATGGTGAGCAGTTCTAACGCCTGTTGAACCTCTTGTTAGTTTTATTTATCGTTACTACTCAACGCCTCCACTGCGGTGTTTGCTTGCTAGATTCCTCCGCGGGGCTTTAGACCCAAAAAATAATATCATCTAATTCGCGTTCGCTTGGGCGCGTGTTGCTTCTACTTGGCCAACTCTTACTGAAGCGAACCTTGTTTTCTTTGTCGCATGTATAATGGCGCAGGGCTCGGTGAACAGAGTCCTGCTGATCCGTCCGAGAAGCTCACAAGCCAGCTACTCCGATTATAAATTTGGAAAAGCATCAGAAGGCCGTTTCGCCCCATGGAGACTCGTCGCCGGATCACAAGCCTGCCTTGTAATCCGAGGGCGCGGGTTCGAGTCTGCGTAGGGACCGGGCTACCCTCGCGGTATCCTTAGGCTGCATGCGACTGATGGTGGTTGCGCGACAGCGAAGCTTAGGTACTGTGCACCGGCGTACTGCTGATGCCTTATGAGGACTCGTCAATGATGCGCAACCAGCGTCTCCATCAGGAACCCAAGTTATGATCGATTGAAGCTTGCGCCACTGGCTAACAGCATGTACCACTGATAACTAAAGTAGATACTATGAGCCCATCTCATCTTCTGGGTTGGGGTCCATGCAGCCCACCTTTTGTTTGGCCGAGACTTTACATGGAATGGTCCTCACACACCAAGCTGCACGCGAGGACACCGGTATAAACTTATCGTCCCGGATTTGAAGCGGGTCGCCCATCAACTCTGTTTTGAACGCAGAGTTGTGAATGTCTGGAACGACCTGCCTCAGCATATAGTAGAAGCCAACACCGTGTCTCAATTCAAGATGCTACTAGACCGACAATTTGCAGAGGCAAAGTACAAAGAGCGAAACGATAAATAAAAAGTTCATGTCCGAAAACGACGAATGATGCAGCTACACAGATCAACCTCTACTCGCTGCTTCGCACCAGTTCTCAGTTCTCAGTCGACATCAATGGTGTCTGCTGTCGTTTCCTTATCGGACTGCCCCTTTAATATGTGATGCCGACTTATGCGTACTTAACAGCTGACACAAGTTAGTGAAATCCGCATGGAACCTGTCTCGTTGAAACGAACTTATATTCGCACGATATCCAGCTGTTTATGATAGCATATTTTTGACTGTGAATGTCTGCTTGGGACATATATTTATATTATATATATTTATTCACAAGTCTGTACACCGACAGAGGTGCCATCCGAGCCATAGTTGTAGGGAAAGAAGAATATAATATTCGAAGAGAGAGAGAGAACGAGAGTAAGACGTTAGAAACTTTTTCACTTTCACACATGCCGTTTTGAGTTTTTTGTTTTCATGTTTTTTTCAACATTAAAAAGTACAGGATGAAGTAATGCTCGAACAGCTTTGACGCCATTGACTCCTGTTGCGGGACATATCCTCCAAGACTTTCAACCATTGCTCCCCAGCTTGGGGGACGCACGGATCCAACTAACACTAGACACGAAATTAGGATCTTCATACTCCTTTTCCAGGTCATCGGTTGTCCTCCGCGGCTATATTTCCATTTGCGTTCAGGAAGTGCAAGTGATGCGCGACGTGGAAGGCGGTGGGCCGGCATGCGCAGTACGTGATCGAGCCAACGCAACGGTGCTGGATGATTATGCTCTTGAGACCAGGATTGTCCGCTTCCTTAATTCTGCTTCTAACTTCCGCGTTGCTCATATGGTGCTGCTATCATGCGCGAGCAATCGAACGCAAGCTGCGGTTGTCGAAAATAGGCAGTCATCTCAAATCTTCCGATCGAACAGGCCAGGTCTCGCAGCCGTACAGTAGGACAGCACGAACTGTGTCATGGTACACTCGGTCTTTGAGCCCGAGACTGACATCGTGACGACGCCACAATTGTCTCAGGTCAGTAAATGCAAGGCGAGCTTTGGCAATTCGTTGTGAAATTTCATCGTTAATACCACCACCAGCCGTAATGCAACTCCCGAAGTAAGTAAAGCTGTTAACGAGCTCCAAGCTGACACCCAACGTTATGAGCCTAGGCAGAGAAGCCTGACAATCCTGGAGCGAAGCTTTACACTTGGATGAAACAAAATACAGACCATAGTTAGATGCCTCTATTGCTAAGCGGTTCAAAATTTTTTGAACAACCTGCGAGTCATCCCCCAGCAAAGCGATGCCATCAGCATAGTCCAGGTCCACGACTCTGCTCCCAGGTAGAAGCTCAGCGTTGCAGCTCTGGGCTCCTTTCGGTGCGCGATTTATGACATCTTCGATGGCAAAGTTGACCAGGAACGGCGAGATAGGACAATTTTGGCGCTCCCTACTGGTAAAAGGAAACAAAGAAAAAAAAACTTGCCATAAGCTCTAACTTTGCCAGAGGTGTGACCATACAGCTCTTTCAAGAGTATGACAAACTTGTCAGAAACGCCGTCCCTTAGCAAACAGTTCCACAGTGACGACCTATCTATTGAATCAAAAGTGACTCGGATATCCAAAACACCATCATTGTTGGTCTTCGGTGGACATGACGATGTTCGAGACTTTGACGCAACGTGAAAATTTGGTCAATGCAACCACGGCCAGAACGAAAGCCAGCCTGTTCCTCACGACACAAACTCTCGCGGGTAACTGAGAGCCTACGCAGCAGAATGGACACAAAAAGCTTGGATGCGACAGAGACAAGTGCGATTCCTCAGGAGTTGGTGCATTTATTACGAGAGCCTTTCTTGTAGACCGGAACCACAACAGATTCTCCCCATGAGTTAGGAACCTTATCGCTCCATACTTTTGTGAACAGCGATAGAATTTCGGTGACAACTAAATTCTCATCTTTGAATAAGGCCGGAGGAAGACTGCCAAGGCCAGGAGCTTTGTGGCGTTTCAGTCTGGAATACTCTCCGTATTTCTGCTTCAGTTGGAGGATCTATGCATACTGACCAAGGATCACATGATGGCAGTGAATGTGTACCCCGAGGTTGTGTTGGGCAATTAAACTGAAGAGCAAAGTGCTCTACCCAGCGATCCAGACGCCTGCGTAGGTTGGTGACTTTTGTACTGTCTGACACAGATGGCCTGATTGATGGTCTGAACTTTGCGTCCGGCGGATCTGATGAGATAAAACAACCTTCGGCTATTACCAGCAGAGGCAGCAACTTCCATTTCCTTGGCTTATTTAGACCACCAGGGTTCATGGTCACAGCGAACCATCGCTTTCAGTTGTCTGGAAATAGAACGGCTGAGCTCAGCGTGCTCCACACTGAGGGGTATAGCTCGCCGATAGTCGAGAAGTTCCGCGGATGTGGCCGAGATCCAACTTTTAATTGTGCAACGAACAAGACCGCAACTGGATAAACCCGATGAAAACATAATCTGTTGCAATCGCGACCAATGCTGCTCAACATCCCAAGGATGCTGCGAAGTGAACTTCTCACGAAGCTGTTTTTGATATTCCAATTGCACGGCGGGGTCTTCCAGTTTATCATAGTTGTCGAGTTTGTCTGGTCCTAGGCGAGCCACCGAAACGCATGCAAACCGATACACGCACGAGCGCATGACCAGTTTCCACGCATGCTGACCAATAGGATCTGCAGTCCAGAATACTGCCACGCCAGCTATGATTTATGGCGATGTGATCAATCTGTGACCAACGTTGAGGGGATGATGGAGCGTGCCAGGTAACGTAGGGACGTCTAGGGTGGCGAAAATTCGTGCTGGAGTGGCAAAGTTGGTGGACGGCACACAAACTGAGTAGTCTTTCACCATTGTCTGAGCATAAGTTGTCGTATCCATGCGGGCCTCCAAGATGGCGTTCGCTTGGTAACAAACGACCAACACGCAAGTTGAAATTCCCCGCCATAATAGTGATGTCCGTTTTGGGGGCCCTTAAGAGCAAATCTTGTAGGTTCTCATAGAATTGGTCCTTGACGGTATCTGGGCTACAGTCAGTGGGAGCATAGCCGGAGAGTACAAAAAGAGCACGTTTGCCCTCTCGATGCCTGTTAACCTTGCACGAGCCATGGTACCTGACAGCACAAAAGGGCCTGTTGATCGGAGTCCATTCGAGAAGGGCGGCTTCGGCTCTGGCACTAAGAGCGACCCCAACGCCAGCTCGCCCAGAAGCGGTAGCCTCGGCGTCTTCAGAAAGTCGTAGGTGGAAACGGGTATAAGGGTGAATTGGTGACGACAATGGATAGACTGTGCTGGACTCCTGAAGTCGTGTTTCGGACAAACAACAGACATCAATTGCAAGAGTTTCTAGAGTGCGCGCGAGACCGGCTTGTTGCCCAATCTGTTTTAAGGTGCGCACATTGCACGCCGCCAAGTTGAACTGTGTCTTCGGTTGCAGAAGCGGAGAAGTGAGAATCCGGGACTATTCAATCCCGGTTTGGCGCCGTGTGATTATGTTAGAGGATGGAGTGGAAACAGTGATATCGGAGGTAGCAATGCTGCTCATCATTGGTTGCTCAGATAAAACCGGGAAAGAATGATTCAGAGGAAAAGTAGGTAAGCGAGTGGCGTGTGATAGTAGAGTATTTGAAGTAGTAGCATGAGAGCAAAGCATCAATAGAGCGAAGAGTGTAGTTCAGTTCCATGGTTCATCAGTAGGCGAGATACTACCCGGTTGCCTAGGCCGAAGTTGGGGGTTGTCTTAGGGGGCTGCCACTCCGAGCCTTTGGCTCGATAGCCTACCTGCAAGACAGCGGGGCGAATTCAGGGAACCGCGCTCATTGAGAGCCGGTGGCCGATTACTTATAAGCTTTGTTTGGTCAAGTACCAAACAGGGGCGCAATCCTTCGCACGATGACAGTATCTGGCAGCTGGAATACAATGCTCCACTGGAGTGAAGAAAGGGGCAGTGACCTTATTTAGTCTCGAGTCACATCCGCCACGTCTCAGTGTTGTTAAACGGACATACGAGGCTTTTTATAGGGAGAACGCTTGCCAGGCGAAAACTGACCACCTCCTGGAACATTGCCGCCGAACGATTCTCTGGAAC